TATAAAGCCGACTACCAACTCAAGGTTAGAAACGATTCAATAGAAAACTGGGGTTTCCTGGCGTTTTCAGTATTAGTTTTGTGCAGTACGAATGATTTAGAAAGGAACTTTTTCCTGAAAGTTTGTGTTTTTCCTTAGAAGTGCCTTTGAATATTGCAATGGCTGTGATTTTGTATTTAGCGTTGTGAAGATGTTTAATGTCGTCGGTGAATACTTGTTCTCACGCCCGACCTGGTGGAACCAACTGATCATGATTTTCCACTAGAATTCTATGGAATTTCGTCCTGTAAGTAGTCTCTAGCGAGCATCACATTAATTGTCAATAGTTAATTTGTGGGGATTTGATTCTATTCAAGTTTGATCATGGATCGAGAACAGTTGTAAAACCACTGAAAGATAGAGGCTACTAGATTTCCGTTTCATCCTGGTTTAAGACTCATCAGATGTGCCCAGCCAACGCGGTTCTGTCTCAAAACCTTCTGGTAAGAAGGCAAGCTCGCAGACCTTTCAGACACTGGAACCCGACTTAACGTCTGATGCAATCTATCTCCTACCAATTTTTGATCATAGCACCATCAAAACCCAATGCCACAGGTTGGTGACTAGTTACAGTATGTAGTTTCAAGGAATTCTAGTGAGATGTTGTGACCAATGGGGTCCACCAGGTTAAGCGTGAGCACAAATACTCGCCGACAATATTGGCTGGTTTCTGAGCTAAATTCACGAAGTTAGGGTTCAAGGGCCATTGAATAGGCTGTCAGTGGCCGAATGATCATAGAGCTCGCCTTGTAACCGGAAGGTCCTGGGTTCGAACCCTCTTGGATTCGTACTGATGAGAAGTCCCAAACCAGGAATAAAAAGTTATCTAATAATCTATGGTTCTCAGTGATTCCCTAACAGATCTTAATCCGTGGTCAGACTTGAAACAAATCAAATTCCTACAAAGTAACTCTTGGATATTGCACTTCTAACAAACCTTTCTGGTATGCGTCTGAAGCCACCAGAGATAATGTTCAGAAATCCTTTGCAGTGAAAATTAAAGAAAGCAGAAATCTAGGAGGAGATCACACTGAAATGTGTTTTTTGCTATTGATAATTCTGATCACAACCCATCGGTTATATTGTAAAAGTAAACAGTTTTACTAAAGCGTGAACCATAATTCTGTACTCCGTAAATATCTTATTTTCGATGGATATTTCATATTTGCAGTTGTTTTGAAGCCATTTCATAGAACCATTTTCGTCTACGACAATCTATCACCATCAGTTAAAAAGGCCAAACATTTAAATAATTGGAAAGAAGAAGATAGTGGTACACTTGATAAATGTTGATGAACTTTTTCAATACATTCAATTATTTTGTGTTTATTCAAAATATTTCTCCACAAGAATGTGGAAGAAAGGTGCAAGAAAATTTAGTGAACATACTCAACCATAATAGTAATAACCCAATTAACCACAAGAGAAATTGTGTGCAGATATTTTTTAAAAGAGTTCAAACACATTGTGGCATTCCTTTGTTGAGCAGAATGGAAGAAAAATACCTTCTAACCGTCTTCAAAAAGAATGAATATCCTCACAATTTCATCAAAAAGTGTTTAAACTCAAGTCATAACATCAACAACAAGTCAGCATCAAAGACTACAAGAAAATTCATCCCACCATGTATGAAAAATATCTCTGGAACAACAGCTAGAATATTAAGACCGTTTGAAATAGATAGATATAGCACACAAGTCAGCCAGCAAAGTCACTTCATTCGATATTGTGCAAACCAAAAGATTCGACAGAAAAAGAAGAGAAAATAAGTAACATTTTTACAAAATAATCTCTGTGGACTGCAATAAACATAAGTCGGACAAAGTGGGCGTTCCCTTCGAATCTGAATCGAACGACACGAATAAGCTGTAAATAGACACGATATATATTATTTAGTATCAATGCATGTGGACAATTACGGACACCAATTTGATTGGGATAATGTAGAAATTTCAATTAGAGCATACACCGAAAATATCAGGGAATTTCTAGAAGCCTGTTACTCAAGTGAATCAGCCAGTGATTAACAAACATATTATTATAGACATTATTATAAACACATTCCAAGTCAATAAAATCGATCGATAGAGAAGTAAATTAACAACCAGTCATGACAGTGCTTGCCAGGAGATACAGTTACATCATTCATGGAGAATTTAGATAAGTCCATTTCATACTAAAACCAGCTCTGAAGATGTTGTCTAGAAGATGGACGACGAATGCTTCACAATGAAATCAACCATCTCAGAGAACACAACTAATTCAAGACGATCTCTGTTAAAAATGTTAAAACTAATGAAAATAAATTTCGTTAGAAACATAATCCAGTGGACAGCAATGTAGTGTTGTCAGCTTTAAATACAGTAAACAACCCAACGGGGATTTTCTTTACGATTAAATTACGTTACTTTGAAGTGCTAAAAAATCGATATCCATTATCAGCTGCCTTTCTATATTAGATAAGTTTATTTGATATTAATATACAGTGATGCAGGGTTAATATCTGGATAATATTTTGAGCACAACTCATGGTTCATAAGCAAATGAATGCATCCATTTGTCTTCCTCAATTTCTTGGTGTATTTTTTACTTCTTCGCGTTTTATAAGGCAAGTTGTAATGTTTCTGGAACTGATTTTGCATCATTTCGACCACATGTATTCGGTGTCAAGTTGGTGAACACAGATTCGATGATTCATATATCTCTTTAAACCTAACTATATTACTTTTTGACACATTTTGCCTATCCCGGCTTATTGTTTAGTCCATACAGTTACAGTCTTAATAACAGACATTGCTAAAGCCCGAGATTTTTGTTCATTTGGTCTGTGATTCTTAGTCTAGTTAAACTCCTGTATTTTGATAACCTAGCCCGCAATAATTTACTTGGTTCCCCATATATTTGAACTCATAATCATTACATGCTATCTGATACTAAGAAATTATTTCGTCTGATTGGCTAATTTGGCTTCTTATGCCCATTAAGTTCGTCTCTGAGTTAACTGTTTCATAAATGTAAATAATAGGGAATTTTAAGCCTCTTTAATTCTATCGTATAAGAAAGAAATATTAAGAGCTATCCACAGTATTCCTACCTTTAGGGTGAATTCAGTAGTTACAGGGAAGCAATCTAATTAACTTTTCTATTCCTAGTGTAATCCTAAGCAGTGATATGTGCTGGCAGTGTCATCTAGTTATGAGTACTGTACCACTGTGTGTGCGTTTGTTAACTTCCAGGTATAAATATTCAAGAGTAAGTTTGCGGAGAATTGATATGTTTCAGGTTTGGTCACAGACTGATATCAGTCAGAGAGCCACTGAAGACCAGGGAGTACTGGACGTCCATCTCTTCCTAATTTGGGACTAATCGGGAGTACGGATTCATTGGGGTTCACACGTAGGACCTTCGAATGACAAGGCGACTATTTAGATAATTTAGCCACTCGGACCCGATTCAACTGCCAACCTATGGATTTCAACTTCTACCAATTCGTGATTTTAGCTCAACTACCAGGGTACTGTCGATGAATCCTTAACTGGAACGAAATAGCTTTCCAATGTTCCCTGGTTTTCAATGGATCTCTAAATGAAATCAATCTGTGGTTAGACTTGCAATATATAAATACATATGATGTTAAATATTAGATTTCGTCACAAACCATAGTCTGTTAGAGAGATCACTAGAAACCAGGGAGTACTGGATAGCTACCTCGTATCTTCATGGGACTCTTCACTAGTGTCCACCCACACCCCTAACAGGGGTTGAACCCGCAACCTTCAGGTTAAGAGACTACACTTGCTGGTCATTTTGCCATTTGGACTACACTGGTTACGACTTCTTACCGCAGCTTCAAGACCTCCATCCAGTAGCCACCGATGAGCTATCCCATAATATATATGCATATTCTTCGCAGTTATTTGCTTGCGATTGTCATTTTACACTAGAGTTACCTGAGCCAATCATTTCTACCTTACAACAAAACTACAGACAAAGATATACATTAAAAACCGCAAGATCTCCCCTACATCACAGTACACACAAAGAAACCACATACATAGAAGTGGATAATTCCAAACAATGTTCGCAAATATTTTTCGTGTTATTATTATGATGGTAATAAAACTTGGTGTTATTAATAAAGCAATGAAATTGTATTTCAATCGCATAATGAATGTCCGAAGTATATAGGTTTGTGCATATTCAGTCTTGTTTGTATTGATGTACAAAACACACTGATCAAAAAGTACAACCACCTTCTGATCATGGTTATTGACAAAACTAACTGAATTCGTATTTCTTTTTCCTTTATTACTACAACTATTTAAATCATTGGTTAAATTGCCCTCCATTAATTTTTGTTTAAATCAACTCAATCAATGTTCAGTGGGTAATATGTTAAATTTTTTTAACCAAGTTTACTGTTGACAAGATAGTCATTTCGATGTATGTACTACTGCGCTCAACAGAAACGAAAACAGTACAAAACATTTAAAAAATCAGTGTGAGACAGACATACAGTAATAAAGACATGATCAGAAAAAAAGAGGAAGATACACAAACGTGTCATTTTCTTATTCGAACACGCACACACACACACACAAATACTCACACACGTGCACACAGGGAAAGATTGTGTCAAACACATTGAAAGTTCTATTTATTATATATAATAAACATACGAACTATCAAACTATTATTGATAAGAAAGAAAATATTTTTGAAAAACACCACGAAAGAGTATATCATCACTTCCGCTGACATTTAACTGATACAATCTGCTTATTTCTTTTCAATTTTTTTTTTTTTCAAATAAAAGTAAACGAAATCCCACAAATCAGCATTACATCTTCCCTCCCTTTCGCTCTCTCTCTCTATCGTTCAGTTTCTCTGACAATTTTTTATCAGTTTAGTAGATTTCATTGGAAGGCAAGGTAACGGTGAATACTAATCATCATAATATTATCAGAAAAAACAAAAAGAAAATTCTTATCCAGTTTTTTTTCATTTCAATATTTACGAACTGATTGAACAATTCGTGTGAGAAAGGAGATTTTAATCCATTACCTGGATATTTGATCATTGAACTCTGTTTGAAGCAATACATTACGATAGTTTCTGCTCAAACACGCACACATTCATACACGGACAAGATTCACTGATGTAAGTAAAAATTGAAACTTGATAATGCTCTTTTTTATGCTCATTTTTAAAAATTGTTTTAATTGACTCTTGAAATTACTTTGTATTTCCTGTTAATTTATTGGAACTGGAATGTTCGGCCTCTGTAGACAAGTTAGTCCTTAGTACAGACCCTTCGAGGATGTCTGAGGACTAACTTGAAGTAATTTGACTGGTGGCGACTAGAATCCAGGATGAGCATTCGGTCTTATTTAGTACTCATCGACTAGATGTGCTTACATTTCTTAGTGAGTGATTGTGTTCCCAATGAGACTGGAATTCGGCAGTCATCGCTTTAGCGTTTAAAATGATGGGTGCTTGGTTCGAGCCTCAGCGGGAAAAGGATCACTCCCTGGGGATTACAGGTAGATCAAGCTAGCGAGTTCCAAATAAGACGAAATGTGAGTCGTGGATTTACCGACCATGAAATGGACACTGAAATATTTACGTGTTTGTTAGCCACCATAGGGCGGAAGTTTACCATTTTTGTAATGACCACCGTTTAACCATGCATAAGAGCTATTTTTTAGAAAAAATCAGTAAGGTAATACAGTCTATTATTTGTCAAAACCAGTTTCTGAAGTAATAGTTTCACAATAAATGTAAATGTTTTCCCGCTAGATAATGATGGACTTATCAGAGTAATAGTGAACTCTAATTTGCTAAACTTAATTTTATTTATATGATAACTTAAGCAGTGTCGTTCAGCATAGATTATTCCCGAATGTCAGTATTGTAAAAATAAATAAGTTCACGTGAGGTTATTTGGAAACATTGCTGAAAAGATACCTTTCTTGAGCTTCTTGTTCTTTTCTCTCTAATTCTCAAACACACAGTTGGTAAGGAAGATTCCTTTTTCACTGGATTGCCATAGGAATATTTGCTATTTCTGTTAAGAAATTGGTCAAAATCTAAATTGTTTTCTAATAATGTTTAGGCAGTTGATTGAGGATATGTGTTAAACGATTAAAACTCTTCTGGCTATTTAGGAGTTGAGACAGATAACACGTGAGGAGTCTAAATGAGATGCTAATTTTCTTCTTGTAACACATCTTCCTTCAATCACTTATCATTACGTTTCGTCACCGAAGCCTCTTTAATGTTAGTGAGGTTCACCTTAGGGATTGTGGGCATCTGAACAATCACTAATTTAAAATTTTTCGCAATCTTTAAAGAGCCTAGTGATGAAGTTTATAAAATTATCAATTCATGAAATATGAAACTCCTAAGGATCACATCTTCTTTTTGAAAAGAAACAAATTTTACAACTCAGTTAAATGTTTCCTGAAGTTGTACTAAGTTGTACTCTGCTGTTTATTATCATGTTTTCTATTTATTTATTCCTACTTTCATTATTAGATTTCAATGAACTCTATGACCTGACAGTATCCACAGACTGACTAATTATCAACCTATATAAACTTGTTATACTGTAGTCCCTAAACAGTTTGCACATAAACAAGGCAAAAGTACATTAGATAATTGCTGCTGGCTTATATCTTAACATTGTTTCCTCCTAAGGTAGAGGAGCCAAATATGTTCGATTTACCTTCTTTGACTATGCTTCCGCTTTTGACTGTATACCCAGATGTTTTATGTTAAACAAGTTTTCTTGACACAAACTGAGTCCTGAGTTGTTAATTGGTTGCATTCTTATTTATCTGACAGAATGCAGTATACTGTATTTAAAGGCAAATCTTTCTCTGCCTTACTTACTGAAGCCACTGTCTCTCAAGGTGATGTTCTTTCTCCTCTTCTTTTTTCTTCCTTCTTACATAACTTGTCTCGATCGGAGGAGATCCACTTGACTGTCTTATGGCCAGTTACTCTCCGATGTGATTTTTCGTAGCTGAATAGCCTTCGTCAGACATCAGCCAGTGGTTCAAGCTAAGTTGTCTTACGTTAAATCCCTCCAAATGCTATGCAATTGACTTCACCTTCGAGTAAAAATGTAATCTACACAAACTGGTTGGTTCACATGACGCTTGTAACAATATGGGTAGTGAAACATCAATAGAGTGAAAAATTGGAATAGTTTCATCTTCTCCCATATCCCCTCATCCTATATGTTATTGATTTCTATGGAAATGCTCCATCTGACCTCCTACATCATGAAATTGAGGCAGCAGATATCACCCAAATTCAACTATTACAGTGTGTTGACTCTTGCATTCTACCTATTGTTCATCATTATTGTTCCATCTCAGTCTTTCCTCAGCTTCTCATGAAGGAATGTCTCATATTTCGAATGGTATTGAAAGTTGTCATTAGGGTAAGCGGTGAACCACGTAGACTCATGCGAGTATTGTGCGAAACCCAAATTGTCTAACTCTCAACACTCTCTCTATTCTTAATGCCATCCCCCCCCACTACACTGAATCTCATCAGGTAGCACTATAAGTCATTATAAAATATTATTTCCCCGCACAACTAGGCAAAAAACTAAACCATACCATATTCGGTCAGCGTTTTTTGAGACTGAGAAATAGTTAGGCGTGAAACTTAAAACTTGCTATGTAACTAACAAAATAAATGGGTCTTTGATGTCCTCCTATTTGTAATTTATGCCGAAAAAGTCTCTATTATCAACTCTGTTTGCCTATATCGTGTAGTGACCTTGTTGATTAAATCACAAGCAATATTGTACCAAGTGTTGAGAATGCTATTCTCTATCATAACTACTGGTTTGGAATAAGGCACATTATTATTATTACTAAAATAGAAAATAAATAATAATTTTATCATGAGGGTCTGTTTAAAGGTCACGCAGATAAATTAGTTATTCTTTATAACTACCGCCCGAGATGAATTTTGTCATTAAACCAGATTACTTAGAGGACCAAGAAATACTGGGCATGTATTTTATCTTAAATTGGAATATTTCATCAGTGAGCACTAATGAGTCCATCTGGTGTCGGACTTACAAATTCTAGTCACGATTTAAGTAGGTCACCATGCAGCTACTGAGTTGTAATCCGGTAGTCCAAAGTTGTCCATTTATCCGTATGACCTTTGGAAGATTGGTATATATGAAAATAGTAATAAAATAATATTCTGTGGTCAGTTTCAAAAATTATGAAGTGTTCAAAAAACGAAAAGTCAAATAATTTTTTACTTTAGGAGGCATCACTGAAACTAGAAAATAATACCCATCAACTTGGTTTTCAGTCAATTTTTATAATTAGGCAAAAGTCAGATCTGCTTTCACCAAAATCCATGTTCCGTTAGTCAGTCTGTTTACACATAGCTTATTTTTCTTCAACTTTCGCTGATAATGATGAGGATTAGTTGGGACTTAAGCCGATGGATACTGCCCATCAGTTTTTTAGAGGCCGCCCTGCGAAACACCGAAATGTTTTTAAAGGTTCCTCTTCTTAAGTATTCCTGACTACTTATGATCCTTCTTTAAAAGAAAACACTTTATTTTGCTTCAAATTTATAGATAATCAATTCAGAATATTTTAGTTCAGACTGTCATTTCTACTTTTTTGATAATTTCAATAAGAATTCTAAAATTAATACGTCGGACTGGTGTATTCTGTGTCGTATTTCTGCTGATATTCTATTGAAAGCAGTACAGTTTTTACTCTGTTCCCAGATATTTTGCTGTCTTGTACAAAGGAAGATGAAGCGTGTACAATTACAATGAAGTCATACTAAACCTTCCACTACAATTATGAGTTTGTGCGTCAAACAGGCTGCTTCATTTTGCTACAGAAAGTGTTTTTCAATTCGTGAAATTGGAGAACTGAGGAAACAACCGTTATCCGGTTGATGAGGGCTAACATTAGAATCTAAGACACGCGTTCCTCCCTATCTGACATTCTTCGACAAGATGTGCCTGTGATTCCCTGTGGGTGATGGTATACCTACTGATTGGTTTTGAATCTATCATTTCCTTAGCGTCGTCCATTACGCCACTGGGCTATTAGCCAACACTAACCTAAAGAGCACCACCTTAATCTTTAGACATCTTCAAATCATCCGTACTAAGAGCTGACATGTTAACAGAGACTGAGAATTTCAGTCCAATAAAACTCAATGAAAGCAAATAAAAACACTCAAAAAATTCTATAGTTTCCCTATTTATGAGATATTCATTTTTTACGAGTTGATCACGGACTGATATCAGTTAGAGAACCATTGAAAACCAGGGAGTACTGGACAGCTGCTGTTTCATCCTAGTTTGGGAATCATCGGCAGTACGCACCCACTGCGATTCGAACCCAGCACCTTCCGGTTACAAGGCAAGCTCGTATACCATTCAGCCACTGGGACCCGATTCAATGGCTCAGGAATTCTAACTTCATGAGCCATTGAATCGGGTCCCAGTGGCTGAATGGTATACGAGCTTGCCTTGTAACCGGAAGGTGCTGGGTTCGAATCGCAGTGGGTGCGTACTGCCGATGATTCCAAAACTAGGATGAAACAGCAGCTGTCCAGTACTCCCTGGTTTTCAATGGTTCTCTAACTGATATCAGTCCGTGATCAACTCGTAAAACATAACTAATCCTTACAAACCAAACTATAGAAAAAAGATATTCATTTGCTAAAATAAGCCAATGATACATGCCAGAAAAAGCGTTCTTCCTAATTTTATAAGATTTTAATCTTAGTAATAAAATATAGCCAAAATCTTGATGTTAGAAAGTAAAATATTGCTTTGATTGAACACTAGGCAGTAACTTATATCGTGTGTTCAGTCCTTGGTGTTGGTGTAGGCTGAATTCTACCGGACAAGTTTGCGAAGAGTTGTCAGAATGCTAGGTGGCTCGGCATCACTGTCGTTAGAACAAACCAAGGCTTTTCAGTGATTGTCATTAATCTTCTAACAACAATAAAGGTTTCAACGTGATATCACCTATGTTTCATGTTGGCAGCATTGCAAACTTGACTGATAGAATTCAACCCACATGAACATCAATTAGTAGACGCATGATATTTGATTACTGTCTAATGTCCAGTCAGTGTATCCATTAAAG